AAAGTTTTTTTTTCACACCTTTCACGATATCTTCCTCTCTTCTCTACTATTTTCTAAACTCTTGAAGTGCTAATGTTTAGGTTTTGTGCTCAGTTTTTAATAATTAATATCTTAAAACAAACGGCAACACATTAGATGTATGTTATTAATATATTTTATATCACCTTGGTTCCTATATAGTTTGATAATTTTTAAATGCAAATAAAATATAGTAAGAACAATCAAGCTTCACTTAAATTTCATGCTTAGTAATACTTGATCTCCAATTGATTCTTTTCCTGTTTAAAAAAAATATTTGAAATATGGGTATATGGTTTAGTTATGAAATATAATTAATATCTTATTAGTTTATAGATAATTATGATAGTTGTGATTAGACCTAATAGACTGTTAATCCAACAGAATGAACCTCACTTTTTAGTGAATCAAAGTAGAGGTAATGTATGCACGTTCCTGTTTATATTTTACGGGTTGAGACTACTAGTCATGGCCACAGGCTGGCCCAGCCCGCCGGTTCGATTCGAACAGACCGAATCAGTCCTGAACTGGCCCATGGTCAACAGGCCCAGAATTGAGCCAATAGTTTGACCTGACCGGTTCTGGGCCTTTGGCCCGGCGGGCCGGGTCCAGGCCGACCCGCGAATATTTTTTTTATTTAAACTTACTTAAATTTGTTGATATTTTTCTTAGTCTTATTTTATATTATAATTAAAATGGTATGAAAGGTTAGATAAATATTATTTTGAGAAAAAACTATATTATATTTTATTTGAATTTTAAATTTTCAATGTTAGTTGCACAAATTTAGTCTTAACTAAAATTTAGAGTCTTTTACATCCGAATCGTTCTTTTTCGATTTTATGTTCATAAATTTTCAACTATCTTGGTCGGTGCCCGTTTTTGGACATCAAATGCCGCGGGCTGACCCGGTTTTTGGACATCAATTATTTTGTCAATGACCCAAGGGTATGCTCTAAATGTCTTTTTTTACTCTGGATGGACCAATAACACACGAGTTAGCTTCTTTGTATCATGATCTCGAAGTGATTGAATATCATATTCGTTGTCCTTAGCCAACTTGTAGAACTGTTGTATCATACTCCTTTTCCTAAATGAGGCCCTCTGGAGCTTTGCCTTGTAGTTGTAAATTTGTTTGATGTGACAGTTGTCCTCCAGAAATGATTGTTGAACGGCCAACAATATGTTTTGTGGCTTTGTTTGAGAAAGAACCATCGACCGATTAAGTTTTTTTGCTCCAACACTAAGACTGCTCATTTGTTGATGTCCCTCTGCATATTCAGCGGGCTCATGATTGGATCTACCCTCATCACATTTCATAATCCAACTCTGGAACTTCGAATTTGGAGTCAAGTTTTTCAATATCTATATATATATAATTGTTGGCAGATGCATTAAATAAAAACATTTAATAAAACCTCATTTCGATTTTCCGCCAAAAACCGTTACAAACTTTATCATTTATATCTCTCTCTCTATATTTTTTATACATGGCCAAAGGTCCGGCCGGCCGCCGGTCAAACCCGTTGACCACGGGTCCGGGACCGGTCGGTATTTTAGACGGGCCGTGTAGGGGTCATACATTTCACGACCCGGCCCGGCAGGTCTGGGCCGGGCCGGGTCAATGACCATCCTTTTTCTATTTTTTTTTTTCTTTTTTCTATTGTTTTTCAAAAAAATAACGGACCCGGCCCAGACCGGACACGAACCCGACACGAGTATAGATCCGTGCCGGTTCAGGGTCATTATTTTCGAGCCCGCCGGGCCGGGTCGTGACCTAGCCCGGGTTTTGGCCATGTCTAATATTTAATTACTAACAGTAAACTTAATAATATTAATTGTTGTTTACCATCTTTTTATGTTAGAGTCTTCTATTATTATTTTTATTATTATTAATCCACCATATGTAATTAATGCTAAAATATTTCA